AGATGATTCTTTTTCATAAAAAAGAATAAATGAATCTTTATATTAGAAATAATAGTGCTATCATTCATTTGTTGAATGATCTGTGAGCAGGTTATATGTTATAAATAATACATACTAGATTACTTATATTTTGGGACTGAATGAAAGAAGAAAAGGCATTACTGTGTTTTGAGGTTAATAAAATATTTTATCTTCACAATAATTTTTTCTTAGATATTTAAAGAACAGTCATGTAATTTTTATGACTTCAAATAACTATAATAGTGGAACATGCAAATGAATGGTTTTGCATACTGGAGAACGTGGGGATATTTATTTTGCGTTTCAGATTAAGCCTTTGGCAGATTAGAGATGTTTAAATATTTAAATTCGTGTATGTGTCAGAAGCCTGAAATCAGGCCTTGCCCATTATGCAGCATTTCTGCATCTCTATTTAAAAATAATTTTTCTTTAAAGTACCATTCCTGGTAGGAAACCCATAGATCCCATTTCAAAGGCACTACAAATTTTAGAAATGTGTTTCTACAAATGGGCACTAATATATTTAAATTTTACTATTGTCTGCAGTGAAGATGAGATTCAGGGAATGCTGCAGGAGTTTAAGTCAAAAGTATTTCTCAAAACCTAAAGAGTGCCCTGGCCAGTTTGGCTCAGCGGTTAGAGCATCGGCCTGCGGTCCGGAGAGATGCAGGTTTGGTTCCCACTAAGGGCATGTACCTTGGTTGCAATTTGTCCCCGGCCCTGGTTGGGTCGTGTGGGTGGCAACCACTTGATGTGTCCCTTTCACGTTGATGTTTCTCTCTCTCTCTCTCTCTCCCTCCCACTCTATCTGAACAAAATATCGAAAAAAATGTCCTCGGGTGAGGATTTAAAAAAAAAAAAAAACCTACAGAGAAGCATTTCCAGAAGAAAGATAGGCATTCAGTAGTTTCTAAAAGTGTGCTATTTGTCCCAGGAGATCTACTAAATATTCAGATCTCGTGAAACACAGAAATATTAGAGCAAAAGCTGGGAAATTTCTCTTTTGGTAATATGGGCATATTAACTTGAAACTCTCCATTATATAAGTGCCGCACGTGTGGGTCTGATCATGTAAAGAGCAATTCTAGACAAAGGCTAATGCATCTTAGTGAAGTTCGCTGCCGAGCTGATTGAAACTGACAGGCCTGTGCTATTTGCAAAGAAAACTTCATGGAGAGTTAGGAACAGATGCTGAACAATATGGCACATTTGATTTCATGCTGCTCACACATGCCAACTCCTGGCAGTCTTTATGAGGTCAGAGGATTAGTCAAATTGTGTTCAGCAGGAATACAGGGTATATATGTAGAAGGAGCCAAGCAGGTGTGCTGAAATGAGTTAGGTGCAGGCTTTCCCCAGGTGTGTCTTACTTGTCCTTCAGCATATGGCCATAGAATCAGAAGGGGAAAAGTTAATGCTCAAATAATTAAATCTAAATAATGCAACTAGTTAGGCTTTTATACATGGTGACTATGAAGAATACATATATGTTGGACTAAATATATGTTGATCTTAATTTTAACTTTTTTTAATCTAAATTTTAATCATTATTCATAAAAATACATCAATATAAAATAGGAAAATATGTTGATGATAAATAATTCAATTAATACTATAACCCATTGGTCTTAGTTTATTCTATTTATCTCTGTTCCAGTAGGTTCATATCTAGTTTTTTCCCTCAACCACAAACACTTTTACTAATTTTTCAAACATTAATGATGAGTCATACTCACTCATGACTATGTATGTCCATATTGTCTTAGATTTCTTGAACATTTCCTAAATAACTAATGGCTAGAGTTTTATTATTATATGATGATATAGGATTTACAATATCCAGCCTTCTGACATATTTTGAAAATTCAATTCTCTATGGGTCAAGACTTGCATGTCAGTAATACATGATTCACTCAAAGGCGTTCTCTAAATGAATGAATCACCAACGAGGTTTCCCAAGACAGCAATTTGTAATCTATATGGTAGTACTTTGTTAGAAGACTGAAGCACAGGGTAAAGATAAATACTTTTTTTCTTGACTCGTTTTCCCTAATATGTTTTTTTTACTGGCAGTAACCTGAAAGTTGTGTATTTGAGGCAAAGTAAAATGAATAAAAATAGATATAAAGTTAAAATATATTTATATTGATATCAGCTCTGCTTTATCTATCAAAGGATATAACCAACCTGTGCTTTTTGGGGAGTTCTTATAACTCCTTCTTCATGGGAAAGTACATAACTTCTTCAGAGACCCAAGAGTACTTTTTAGTGTGTTACTAAATAGAGTTGTGCCATCAGTAGAGAGCTCGGCTCTCAAATGACCGTAGAAATTTCTGTATACACACCTCAACTGAATACTCTTAATAATATACAGCAGTGTAAATAGGAATTATGAGGTTGTCAGGTAATTAAAAACAGAACTTAACATTTGTGCTAGTCGAAGAGGCCGGCATACTCTTCTAAGTCCATTATTCTGTCTCAGGAATGGCTTTTTTAAAGGAATATTATTTTTTTCTTTTGGATGCTGACCTCAAAAGACCTTAACAGAGCTTATATGAGAGTCTGGAACATTGAAATAAGAGGTCTGATTTAAATATAAAAATGCTGTGCATGTATTTCTTTTAGTGCGTGGGAGAATTAAAAACTCCATTGATTTTCTGATCTATTGTCTAAAAAACAGCCTGGCAGTAATAGTCACTCAATAAAAGGTTGCTGAATGATCAAATTAACACCTTGAGTCCATGAATGGTAATTTCACATGAAAACCACTGAGTTTATGTATTCATCAGAGACTGGTGGGAGAGAAAAGGGGGGGAGGGGGGAAATGGGTAGGAGAGAGGAAGGAAGAAATTGAGGCTGAGGCTGAGAATCAGCAGGCTTCATTTTGCAGTATCTTTCCTACTCTGTCACTGAGCTCCACTTCCGAGTCAAGGAAACCTATCCTCTGAAGCACTTAGTATCATACTAAAAAAAAAAAAAAAATGAAAAAGAAAAAAGAAATGGTATATCCTAAGCAGAATATGGAAGGCTAAAGATATTCTATCTTTCCATACTATGAGAAATAGCATTATGATGTACAGAAGACATATACATTTACAAACCATCCATTTATGTAAAATGTAAAGAAAATATTGTAAACAAGAGGTAAGAAAAAGTCAATGATTAAGTGGATGTGGCTGTGAAATCCAGTCAGATGTATTCCTTACCTTTTAAAGTCTCCTAAAATGCCAATTTTAAATATTTTCTCTGGTTTGTAATACTTTGTTTTTCCCACACCATTGTTTCTTAGTACATATGTTTTGTGTATATTAAAAATGCAGCAAAATAAACTCACTCTCCTCTCTGCATTCCATCTCCACTCCTTGTTGCCATTTACACACATGTGCACACACGCACACACGTACACACACAGCAACCAACCAAAATTAATTCAAATAGACGAATAGGGTCTTTGGGGCAAACAGCTAATTTAGATTTTTTAAAGCGCAAGCCTATTTGAATTATATTTATAACCCTTTTAATAAGAAAGATCTTGTTTAATTTTTTGAGGACACTGTTTTGTATCCATTTTATAATTTTGTAATTACTGAGACAGATTTGTCTACCCACAGGCATAGTGAATGTTATATGTAACAGCTTAAAATGTTGAAGTTTTACAAACCATTGTTCTCATTCTAATTTCTTAATGTAACCATAGCCCCCTACAAAATTGTCTTGTTTAATCTAATTTACTGATAATGAATATTTATATAAAATGGTAATTCTGCAAGAATTTAAATTGCTTCTTTATATTTAATAAAATGATGAGCCTGAAAGAACCATGTGTTCTATAAAATTGAATTACTTTGTATTTAGTTTCATTGTTTTGTAGTATTTTATCTTTACATTAAAAATGTATAAATGATTAGTCAGTGACACATTTTCACATAGAAGATGTCACTGTATCCATCAATAACAAAGAGTAAATCTCTAGAAACTAATTAGTTTGGAGTTATATGTCAACACAATTACACTGGATGGAGTTAAACAGGTAAAGAAGACTTCATTCGACATTGTTGTAGGGGTCAAGATTATTGAAAAAGAGGAGAGAGATTGAACTCAACTGTCTTGGAACAACAGGTGGGAGAGTTTTCATGCATTGCGATGAGCCAAGTGGAATCCAATACAGGGAATGAAGAGGTTGGTCAGATTTGATGAGGCCAGATGTATCCCCCAACTGGTGCTTATGAGACTGGGATATAGGGGTGCTGCCTGCCTTGATGATTGCGTTGGAAAGGGGTTGCTCCCGGGTCCTTAAGAAAGAACTCTCTTAGTTGTAAAAGTGGAAGAGAACTTCCAGAAGATTTACATCTTCAAAGGGGCAGAGAAATAATTTACAAATGCAAGTTTTCTAAAGTAAATGCTATAAGAAAAGGAAGGTCAGGGGCTTGGAGTCAGGACAGCCTGTCTGAAGTTTAGTCAGGCTGAGGGAGAACTGGAATGCTGTCTTTGTCATAAACAGTATACCAAACCAGTTTATCTTAGACATAATTATGGGATACAGAATAACATTTCAAACTTCTTATTTCAATATATTATAGGACAAATACCAATCCATCAGCCTTTAGATGCTAATAACAGGATAAAAAATGTCTTGCTAAAAGCATCAAAGAACAAATAAGATAGTAGGTAATAACCAGGTTGTGTTCTCAGTAAACACCAGAAGCCAGAAAGATGAATCTAGCGTTCAAATATCTTTTCACGTTGGGGTATCTAATTCGATGGAGGAAGCGGCTGAAGGGCTAAGCTGCACGTTCCGGAGCCTCATGTGCTTAGCATGGGGGTAGCGGCTTGTTTGTCAACGTCTGTTAAGGGTGGTTAATCAGCCAGGTGGTCTTGGGAACACAAAAACTATGGTCAGAGAGATAGAATAAACCAGAGTTAAAACTGTTTTAACATTATTATGTGGACACTCCAGTCCTAAACACAGTATTAAGATGCTGGTTTGCTCAACACATATACTAAAATTGGGAGGATACAGACAAGATAAGAATGCCTCCTGTATATTGAGGACATGAAAATTAGTGATGCATTTCATATTTAAGAAAATCTATTATTAAAGGAGGTCCGAGACTCCTAGTTCCCCCACTGTTATCATCACTGAATACTGTATTTCTATTGTCCAGATGGACCACAGTTTATTTACCCACTCATCTACTGGAGAGCACCTCGGATGCTTCCATGTTGTAGCAGTTACGAATAAATCTGCTATAAACATCATGTGTGGACTCCTCTGGGTAAATACCAAGGAGCACAATTGCTGAGTTGTATGGTGAAAGTATGTTTAGTTTTGTAAGAATCTGCCGAACTGTTTCCCAAAATGGCTGTTCCATTGGGCATTTTTACCGGTGATGGGTGAGGGTTTCTGTTGCTCCCTGGGCTTGCCGACATTCTCATCAGTTTCCATGTCAATTACTGACAGCCCAGCATTCCTACATGGATGTAGTCAGCCACTCCCCTGACCTCCTTTATGAGCAGCTCTGAGCGAGTCCCTCGAAAGGTAACAATCCAGGAAGAAAAGACAAAGAGGGAAAAAGTGTAAGCCCTATATTAATAGCTGTACATTTCAGAGTTAAGAAATGATACTAAATTCATGCTGATAGGCAACCTTGTTAGCTGACCATATTCCGGTAGCTGAAGAAAAGGTATGATATTTCATTATACATTTTCTTCTGTTTGAATTTTTTAACCATAAGATAGTCTAAAATGTATGTTGTGATGACAATCAAAGCAGTTCAGAAAATTGCTTATATGTTTAAAATATTAGAACATGTAGGCCTAACATTTTTTTTTGTTATTGAACCAGAGTAGATTTAGCTAAACAGAACATTTATTAAATATTGTTTTAGACAGGTTTAGTAGATCATAAACTACTGAGGGAGAATAATATAGTGTAAAACTACTATGAGGAGGTATCTAATAAAAAATAAGATAATTGTGTCATTTCTACTATCCAAACTCAATTTAGAATACTAATAGTACAATAAAAATCACTGCTATGTAAAACAACTCACAGTGGCAAAAAGCATAAAAGTATAGGTAGTAAATGTCAATGAAGAATATTAACATTCATTAATGAGCTCATAAAATCAAATGTTTAAAACCAAAGTACTTCAGTATCACAAAGTTTGTTATAAGGGTTTTGCCAGCAGTCCTGGGCTCTTTCTTATTAATGACATGCAAAAGTTGTGTGTCAGTAGAAATTCATGTCATTTTACGGAGATGTTTTATGAAGTTAAATATTAATATGGTTATAATTATTACTATAAATTATTTACAGCAGTGAAAAGAAATAAAAGGTTAACTTAAAAGAAAGGGAATGCTCTGTAAAATAGAATGAACTGGAAAGCCCAAGGCATACATGAGAGGAGGGACACGTGTCCCTAGCAGCAGTGTTCCAGAGATCTCCCAGCGGGAACAAGACGTGTGCTGTGTGGCTCTTAGGACCGCTGTCTATAGATATGAACTGAAAAGCACAATTAGGGGAAAATAATAGTTTGTTAAAGAAAAGATGAGTTTCTGCCCCTTTGGGACTGTACAGAGGAGTTTGGGGACTGATTCTTCACATGGTGAGGCATGAGGCAAGATGTCTGATTGTAGGAGCCAAACAAGGCGGGAGTTGACGTCATGCTTGGCCATTTAACTGTACAAGATTCTGGCAAGTAACTTACCTTGTTACAGCTCCATCCTGTCAGCAGAGTGGGAATATTAATGACCGCCTCACCGAGTTGTAGGAATCAGTGCATTAGCGTTCATAATGCTACTTGTTCAAGGTTTAGAATATAGGAAATACTCAATCAGTGGAAGCATATTATTCTTATCCAACTCTGATTAGCCATTGATAAGTAGAAGTTCTCTCAAAAGTTAGAAAGATTTGGTATCTGTGGGCTTTGTTTTAATTATTAATTTATTTAAGACATTAAGTTATTTTTAAATATTTTATTTTTAAATAAATTATACATACACATACATCTACATATTTATTCAATATTGCACCATTTAAACTATGTTTGTGATGTGTTTGTGCCACCCACATAGAATGTGTATCTTCCTTAACGTGGAATTGTTTCTGATTTCTTATCCACTGGCTGTAACATCCTGGAAGGCTGGGGTAGTGATTTGAGTTTTTTTGTAGTCCCAAAAAATTCTAGCACAAAGTTTTCTTGTAAATAGAAACCAACCAAAGAAGATGTGAAACAAGTTCAATATTAGCTTTATTATGAGCTATCAATAAAAATTTAATCTTAGTATATTTGCAATTAAATGTATTTTCTTCTGTTTTAAAAACAATAACTGTGGCACAATCAGTGTGGTTCTGTGGTTGAGCATCAATCCAGGCACCAAGAGGTCACCGGTTCTATTCCTGGTCAGGACACATGCCCAGGTTGTGGGCCCGATCCCCAGTGGGGGTCATGCAGGAGGCAGCCAGTTAATATTCTCTCTCATCAATGTTTCTCTCTCTCTCTCTCTCTCCCCCTTCCTCTCTCTAATATCAATAAATGAAAAAAAATACAAAACTAAATAAATAAATAACGACTGTCATTAACATGAATCATTTTGGGGGATGTCAGTTTAAATAACAAGAAGGGAATTTCTTTATAGAAGTTACAACCTTAATGATGCTAATATTTTTTACTCTATGTTTTATTATTTATACTTTTGTAATTTCTTATCAGTTGTTTTTTTTTTGTTTTGTGTTGTGTTTTATAGAGGGAGAGGAGAGATAGATAGAAACATTGATGAGAGAGAACATCAACTAGCTGCCTCCTGCATGCCCCCAATAGGGGATTTGGCCCACAACCTGTGCATGTGCCCTGACTGGGAGTTGAACAAGCAACCTCTTGGTGCATGGGTTGACGCCCAACCACTGAGCCACAACTGCCAGGCCTTATCAGTTGTTTTAATTGTACTCTGACACTATTCCCCCCATTCTTTTACTATGAATTAGAAAACTTACCATGTATATAAGGGGGTAATACCTAGACATTGCCATATACATGAAATAAAGTAAAAATATGATTCTCTTGTTCTTTAATACCACAAAATTAAGTATAAGTCTGCTCAGGTTATACTATAAGATATACAACTCTACCATGATGTTCTTGCATGACTTGAAATATTTCATTTTCTAAATCAACAACATAGTAACACAGTAAATAAGTCCACATTATGATGTCAGAGTGGGGAGGAAATAATATATTTCTAAATATGCAACTCTTGGGGCATTCAACATTGATTTTTGGCAGCTTCCACTGTAAAGAGGTCCAAATAATAGCTTTAATTATAGGAGATTTGACCTTTTCAAATTTATCTCACACATTTTGGAAAGATGCACTTACAAGATGAAAGCTGTCTGTGACTTAAAATTTTCAATATCTCTTCAGTGGCTAGATTCATTTGGTTATAATAAATGGTTTTGTCAAGGACAAGTAATTGATTTTTCTGTGTGATTCAAAATACAACAGTAAATGTAAGTATTTTAGATTCTGAGTATAGTTTCAAAGTTCTTTGCAAGAGAATGTCTGCAGTATATAATTAAGAAAATTATTTTTTTTCTTTCAAATGGGCAGATATATTTTAATTTTGTATAAAGGGTTACCTAGTATGATTTATCTTTTCGATTTTTGAAATTAATCCATAGAGCTTCATACAAAGTAAAAATGTGCCTAACATTAAAAGGAATTATGATGACTATTACTGCAAAATGTATTCGGATATTTAAAAAAATGGTTTGAAGAACTAATTGCAAAGAGCATCAGCGCATAGACCAGAGTCCTGGGTTCGGTTCCTGCAAAGGGTGCGTACCTTGGTTGCAGTTTGTTCCCAGCCCCGGTTGGGGTCGTGCAGGTGGCAACCAGTCAGGGTGTCTCTCTCACATTGATATTTCTTTCTCTCTTCCTCCTTCTCTCCCTCCTGCTCTATATGAAGATAAATGCAAAAATTTATCTTCAGCTGAGGATAAAAAAAAATTTTAAAAGACTAATTTCTAGCATTTCTGCATGAACATGCACTTATATGTGTATTCGTGTGTGTCAGTGTGCCTATACATTTAGAAGTACATATACCCTCCTACCCCCCCCCCCAAAAAAAGCATCTTAATCATCTACACTAAATTTGTAAGACCTGAAAAATAATTCAGAAGTTTGGATATTTACATGCATAGGAAGTAGATTAGTTACTATTATAGTGAAATTGAAACAATTTGATTATCTAACCATCAGTTGTCAACCTGTGGGTCGCGACCCATTTGGGGGTCAAACAACCCTTTCACAGGGGTTACCTAAGACCATCAGAAAACACATAGTTCCAATGGTCTTAGGAACCAAGACATCGTTCCTCTGTCCATCTCCAGATGGGTCCGCCCACATGCAGATACACTCACGTAAGGGTACCTGGCATGGTGACATCATCACACCAACCCATCACATACACCCCGTACAAATACAGGTGTATGTGACAGGGTTGGCGCCATAATGTACTTATGCAGACCAGACACACATGTGTAGAGAGCAGCTACTGTGTAGAGAGCAGCTACTGTGTAGAGAGCAGCTACTCTGTTAAAAGCAGTTACTGTGTTGAAAGCAGCAGTATTGGAGGTAAAACAACACTTCATGAATTATAATTGCTAGGTAAATGTAAAATCATGTACTGTAAAATCATCAACTACTGCAAAAAAAATATCTGTACCATGGGAACTTAATCTGGATGCTGATAGGTCTTTTTATATATTCAGCTGTGGTTGATGTGAATACTGCCCCCTTGTGATAGTAACAGGTATGTAAAAAAAACAACACAATGGTAAATCATAGAAAACTGTAATGAACTGTATTGCCTAAACTATGCCATGTATCATCTTTTGTATTATTAAAGCTATTACTGTACATTATTTTCATTAGCAAACCATCCCATGACAATGGATCATGTAGAGAAGAATGTTAATAAAAGAAAATATAGTGAGGATTTCTTACAGTATGGTTTTACCTCAATAATTACAGCAGGAATTGAGAAACCACAATGTGTTATTTGTTGTGAGGTTCTATCAGC